ATCCCCCCCGTGCCATCCCCGCGGTGACATCCCCCCAGTGCCATCCCCCCAGTGCCATCCCCACGGTGCCATCCCCACGGTGCCATCCCCACAGTGACATCCCCACAGTGCCATGCCCCCCGTGCCATCCCCCCAGTGCCATCCCCACGGTGCCATCCCCACGGTGACATCCCCACAGTGACACCCCCCCAGTGCCATCCCCACAGTGCCATCCCCACAGTGCCATCCCCACAGTGCCATCCCCACGGTGCCATCCCCACGGTGTCATCCCCCCAGTGACATCCCCACAGTGCCATCCCCACAGTGCCATGCCCACAGTGACATCCCCCCAGTGCCATCCCCCCAGTGCCACCCCAGCCTGGCACATTCCCGCCTTTCCCCCGGGACGCCCCCGTTCCCTGTGGGATCAGGGAGGTCGGGGTTGGGGTCCCAGCGCTGCCGTGTCCCGCAGTTGCGCAGGGGATGCTCCCTCCCTTCCCGCCGGGGATGTTCCCGTTCTGGCCGCCCGTGGGGCCCTTCCCGCCCGGCCCCGCCGCTGCCCAGGCCCCGCCCGGCACCGAGGCCGCGGCCGCGGGGGCCGCTCCCGGTGAGTCCCAGCCAATCCCACCCAAATCCACCCCAAATCCCACCCTGAATCCCACCCCGAATCACACCCGAATTCCACCCCAAATCCCCTCCCAATCCCACCCCAAATCCCATCCCAATCCCACCCANNGTAGGAACCGGGATTGGGATTGGGATTGGGATTGGGGATTGGGATTTGGGGATTGGGATTGGGATTGGGATTGGGATTTGGGGATTGGGATTGGGATTGGGGATTGGGATTGGGGGATTGAGGATTGGGATTTGGGATTGGGGTTTTGGGGGATCCCAGGATTTGGGGATTTGAGGATTTGGGGGTCTGGTATCTGGGGATCCCAGGCTGAACCGTCCCCAGGGGTGTCCCCTATGCCGGGGATTTGGGATTGGGGATTTGGGGGATCCCAGGATTGAGGATTCGGGGATTCGGGGATTTGGGGATTTGGGGATTTGGGGGTCTGGTATCTGGGGACCCCAGGCTGAGCCGTCCCCAGGGGTGCCCCCCATGCCCGTGCCCCCCGCCGGCTTCGCGGGGCTGACGGAGGACGAGCTGCGGGCCATGGAGGGCCACGAGCGGCAGCACCTGGAGGCGCGGCTGCAGTGCCTGCACAACATCCACACGCTGCTGGACGCCGCCATGCTGCAGATCAACCAGTACCTGGGCGTGCTGGCCTCCCTCGGGTACTGGGATGGACTGGGGAGGAGCCCCCGGCACCGGGACCCTCGGGAGCCCCCGGAGGCAGCGGTGAGTGAGGAGCCCCAGGCTGGGCTGAACTGGGCTGAACTGGGTTAAACTGGGTTAAACTGGGGTAAACTGGTGCTGAACTGGGCTGAACTGGGTTTAACTGGGTTAAACTGGTGCTGCACTGGGCTAAACTGGTGTTGGACTGGGTTAAACTGGGTTAAACTGGTACCAACTGGTACCAGCTGGGTTAAACTGGTGCTGAAGTGGGCTAAACTGGTGTAAACTGGATTAAACTGGGCTGCACTGGGTTAAACTGGTTCTGGGCTGGGTTAAACTGGTACAAACTGGGTTAAACTGGTTCTGGGCTGGGTTAAACTGGTACCAAGTGCTTGTGCCCTGTCCCGGCAGAGCCGGCCCCGGCCGAGGATGAGGAGGAGGCGGCCGAAGGCTCCGAGCCCCGCGAGGGCCCCGACACGGCCGAGCTGCGGCGGCGGCGCCTGCAGAGGCTGGGGACCCCTCCCCACTGACCGGGACCCCCCCAGGACCCCCCAAACTGACCGGGACCCCCTAGGGACCCCCCCC